ACCATGCTGAGCCCAACTATGTGTCGTATTTATTGGTTCATAGCCTGTCTTAGCTCCACAAAAGCTAAGGTGGCTGTTTGCTTATTTTGTTTGCTGCTGCCACATTTCCTGGTACCCAGAGGAGTGCTTAGCTCCCGGTGGCATTCAGTAAATATTTGTTGAACCTGCTTCCTAGGGATTAACCCACGTGGACCATTATCTCATTTATAGTCATTGCTGGATTAGATGACCTAATATTTTGTTTAAGATTTTTATTTCCACGTTCACAAGTGAAATTGGTGTGCAAAATCTCTCCTCCTTATATGGTTCCTGTCTGGCTTTGTTATCAGAGGAATTTGGGAAGCACTTCCTCTTTATCTACTTTTCTTGAACATTTTGTGTAAGATTGGAATTGAAAATAAAACTTGCCAGTTTTACTGGGTCTGTTGTTTTCTTTGTGGGAAGATTTTTTAGTAAAGGTTTAATATTTAAACCTTTCCCTTTCTTTCACGAGTAGCTTAGTAAATATATTTCTCCATGTATTCTTTTAATTAAAATTTTGTATTTGCTGGCATACATATATGACTTTAAATTTAAATTAATTAAAATTAAATTAAATTAAAATTTCAGTTCTTCAGTCACACCAGCCACATCTCAAATACTCAATAGCCACATGTGTTTAGTGGCTACCATATTGGACCGCATAGATAAGAATATTTCCATCATCAACACAAAATTCTGTTGAACAGCAGTGTTCTAAAATATTCTTTCCCCAGATATTTTCACAGCTGGCTTCTTTTTACCCATCATATCCTAGCACACACACTTCCACCTGAGAGGGGCTTTTCTGACTAATCAGTGTGAAGTATGCCCGCCACCACCCACAATGACATCATTGTTTTATTTTCTTCATAGTCCCACCACTTTCTGGAAGAATCTTATTTTTCCGTTTCCCCCATTAATGATGTATTACAGTCCATAAGAACAGAGACCTTTCTGTCTTGTTTATCACTGAACTCCAGAGTATAAAACAGTCCTTGGACAGAGTAGATGTTCAAAAATTATAAATCAAATGAATGAAGTAGATCAAGAGATCCGGAAACACCATCAACCATAAGTTGAGATTTGTACATTATATTATCTTATCTTTTAAATCTCTAATATCTCTCTTTTTATTCTTAATAGTTTTCATTTGTGCCTTTTCCCTCTCTATTACTTATGTCTTATTAATCAGTCTCACCAAAGGTTTGCTTACTTCATTAGTTTTTCTTTCAAATACAACTTTGACCTTACGGGAGATCTCTATTATATATTTGCTTTTCTCTGTCATTAATATCTGCTTACTCTTTATTATTTCCTTTCTTCCGTCTTCTTTGGGTTTATTCGTTAATCTTGTGCCTGTGAGGGCTTTTTTCCTTTCTTACCTAAATAAAATATTTAAATTTCCTTTGATGTAATGTTTCAGCTAAATACTATAAGTTTAGATGTGTCGCATTTTCATTTTTACTAAATTTTGAGTATGTTTAAAATGCCCATGTTTTCTTTGGTCCATGAAGTAGTTAGTAGAGTGGTTTTGTTTGTTTGTTTTTTCTTTGAGTGGTTTCTTTATTGTTATTATCATTTCAAAATATATGAGGCTGTTTTTAGTTACCTTGCATCATAATGAGGGAAAATATTTTTCTGCATGTCACAGATTCTTTGGCATTTTAGGGACTTGCTTTAAAGCTTGATACTTGGTCAATTAAAAAGAAAATATGTACCATGTGTGCCCAAGAAGAATGTTTATTCTATAATTACTGGGTGCAGTGTTCCATATGTGTCCGTTAAAAACTTAATTTGGAATGTATTTACACTGCTCACCAGGAAAGAGGCTGGGGTGCCTCCAATAGGAAAGGAAGCAAACAGGGAAAAGAAAGTCCCTTCTTCTCTTCGAGCCCCGGGGTCTTCCTCTAGCTTCACCTGTTGGTAGAACCTAACAAGCAGTGGCTGCCAAAGAGAAACAGAGTCTCAGAGTTCCAGCCCTAGAGTCACCAAGCCAAGAACAGAAGGATGGATTCAGAGCCAAAAAACAACTGGCACCTTAATAACTGGCATACATGCTATGAAGAGATGATTATGATTAACTTATTTATGTACATCTGAAGTTCTAAAATATTGCTATAGATAGCATCAAATCACAATAAATACATAGTCCTGGGCAAAATCTCTACCCTGGATTTGTAAAAACAGTGCCGGAGAGAGATGAAGGAGCAGTGGTTCAATAATTCTTTTGAAAGTAGTCCTTTCCTGTGCCATGCCTTTTCAAAGGTCTCTGTCAACCTATATACATTTGAAGTGTTTCTCATCCAGTAGTAAATGGCCATTGTTAATGAAATTGAAAGAATTTGCACAAGATGGAAGAGTGTCCAACACAGTTTTGATTTACCCATACGGTCCACACCATCCTATCCATATCGTGGTTCTGGGGCCTCATCCATGTCACTGATAACAGTCACTTACTAATTAATGAGAACCTAATTAATAAGACTAATTAACAAGACCATCACCACACTCTGTGAACTGCAACAAGGGATGGTATGGTTATTCTCTGTTTGGTGCACCATGCTAGGCATGTGGGAGCTTCAAAGACAAAACAGGACCTACCTTTAGGGGATTTACAACTTGACAAATGAGGAAAGACATGCTAGGTTGACTATAATAGAATTGCTCTATCACTTTTCAAGAGACTGTCACATTTTCATGTTGCTTTGGCCTAACATCTCAGAGTTATCGGACTCTCCTCCTAGCTCATGGTCAGTCAGTCATCAGATGGAGCTTATTCTCACTATGTCATCTTCAGGAAGCCTCACTCCTTTTCTTCCTAGCACTCCTTTAAAAAACCTCATCAACTCAACCCTTGTTCTCTCTTTACACACAGGCTCCCTGTTCTACAACTCCCCCTCACATTGCTTCATGGTTAATCTGTACAACTCAACATTTTTACGTGTTCTTTCTCTCAACAGAAAGCCTTGGGGCTACTGTCCCCAAATGTGTACAAGATACCTTCTAAACTCCTTACACAACTTCTAACCATCTGGTGTTCCTTTTCAGCCTTATTTCTCATGCTTTCCCACATCCACTGCCATGCTGCTCATCTTGCCTTCTCTTGACCATGGATCTGCCCCTTCTCCCCTCCACAAGTGTGACCAGAGAAGCAAATGCTGATCATTCCTTTAGACATCTTTTTCAGAAAGTCTTTTTAAGAAACTAGTCCTGTGGTATGCTTGCATTCAAAAGGGAGTCATCCTGATTACCTTGTCCAGTATTACAACTTGGATATTTAAAATGGTTAAATGAAAGAACTCATTTTTTCATTCTCTGGGGAAAAAAGCACAGTCATTATTACTCACAATTTATTAAGAAAAAAAAAACCCGGGGCCGGCTCCATGGCCGAGTGGTTAAGTTCGCGTGCTCTGCTGCAGCGGCCCAGGGTTCGGATCCTGGGCACGGACATGGCACTGTTCGTCAGGCCACATTGAGGTGGCGTCCCACGTCCCACAACTAGAAGGACCCACAATTAAGATATACAACTATGTACGGCGGGGGTGGGGAGGTTGGGGAGATAAAGCAGAAGAAAAACGAAAAAAAAAAGATTGGCAACAGTTGGTAGCCCAGTTGCCAATCTTTAAAAACAAAACAAAAAAAACCCCATATATTTCACAAATACGTCCTTGGAAATTTTATATCTGTACATAATTTTCAGGTTCACTGCATAATTAAAATGTAAGGCCCATTGTTCAAAAATTATTAAGAATTTCAAGATGGCAATAGCAAAACATCACAATTCCAGAGCTCAGGGCCTTATGCAGCTGCACAGGTTGCATGAGGAACCCAACTCTGATTCTTTCTTTATATGTTTGTCTTTATTCCACGGGGAATTCTAAGACATGTGAGCTAAATGTTATGCTTAAATATATGACCTATAGGACCTGAGGCTCCTGGTATCTCTGACAGAGCAGACAACCTTCTTGGCTACGGGCACAGCCCTGGGAACAAGATTGTGTGCACATAATCTTGATGCAACCACTTCCTAGCAGATTACTTAACTCCTCTGTAGCTCAGATTCCATATCCACAAAGTTGGGATAATAATGAGAGCACCCACATCATGATGTTCTTATAAAAATTTAGTGACTTAATACAAGTAACACACACAGGACAGCGCCTGGGATATAGAATGCTCTATAAAACTTGGGCTATTAAGGTTACTTCTTTCTTTGAAAAACTTTCTGACTTCATTTTTTATCCTTAGTTAAATCTTTCAATATGTAGCTACATTTTATTTCAAGGCTTTGAAGTATCAATTAGAAAGAAAAACCTAGCAAATTACAGAGTGATACAAATTCCATTTAGGGTACTAGGATTGGGGCATAAACAACAAAAAACACGTAAACTTTGGTGCCAAGCCTAAATTAATTAATTGATTGGTTATTCATTCTTTCAAACAGCATTGATTTTGCCTACTGATTTCCAAGGATTTTGGAAGGTATAGATGAACAGAGCATAGTTCCAAATATTGCCATATGGTATAATGCAGCACCGCAAGTAAAGTAAGCAAATGCAGCTCAGGACGCCCAAAGGAAAGGAAGTTGATTCAGTCCTAAAAGAGAGTATGATGAAGAGAATTTGGGAAGTCTTTTTAGAGAATATGGTAGTTAAGCTATCTCTAAAAAGATGAATAGGCATTTCCCAGGCAGATTCATTCAGGATAAAAGTATATTCAAAAGACTGATCATGCAAAAGAGTAGAGCAGGACCAGGATTCACAGAAAGTATAGCGTAGTAGAAGCTTAAGGTACAGGTTAGGGGTGAAGGGAAAGAAGTGAGATACAAGGTTGCAAGCTAAATGGTTGCCAGAACTCTGGAATGGTTTTGTGTATCGTTCCAAGTAATCTGGCTCTTATCCTAGGCACCAGGTAGAGCCTGAAAGGTTTGGAACATGGGAAAGGTAGGTGGAAGGTGGACAGTGAGACACAGTAGTCACCTTACAAAATGACTTCTTAGAAGGCAGTGAATTCTGTTCTGAACAGCATCACAGGATCTTGTCCAGCGAATGCGATCCTTCTCTCCTCCTCTACCCAATTGGTCCAGGAGCAGATGCTTGATTCAAATCGCACCAGATTGAGAGGGTGCTCTTGTTTGGTTGATTTGGTTTGGTTTCTGCAATAGAGGAGACACTTTCTGTGCTGGACCCAATACCAAACGGAATTTTAAATTGAAAAGTCTGCTTTAATCAATGTTACTTTAATATGACAACTAAATTCAGGAATCTGTCCATTGATAGACTGTATATGCTATTTTCTTTTTTGATCATAGAACTTAAATGGGAATTTTGTCCTGGAATGGTAAGAAGGATTATTGTCTGATATATATTTACACTGGAGACAGGTAAGCTTGTTTTTTTTTTCCATCAGGCATCCACTATTTGACTCTAATTCCATATTGAACATTCTGCATCAAAAAAATAAATCTGAAAAAAATGGAAAGAATATGTGGAAGAGATTCAGTTTTTTTAATGAATGATGGATGATTTCTAGTGTGGATTTCTACCCTTGTTTCCAGCTCCTGAAAGCTTCTACACTGGCTTCGGTTCCCCATTCCCCGTTCAGTTTTCAGTGGACAGTTTGATACAATTTGATATAAGCTTGCATTCTGAGTGTTAGAAGAGTTTCCAGTCCAGTTCATGGTGACCTCTGTTGGTGGAATTTTGTCAGCTACTGCTCTCCGAATCAAGCAGAACACCAAGCAGCAGGGAAGAAAGGAACTCACAGGAAATCTAGGTCCACGTAACACAGGTAATCTTGCATATCCATGTCTGAGTGCACATGACAGATGAACTATGGGTGCTGTTTCTTTTTAGTGTGGTCACCAATGCCTTGTGGCAAAATTGGCGGTGCCAAGCCCTTGCTAATGTCAGGTTTATAGACCTTAGAAGCCATAGATTAGTTGGCAATTTCTGTTTCCCATCAGATCAATTTGGAGATTAGTTGGAAAAAGCCCATTTGAGGCTGACCTCACACTGGTCATGCCAAATGCCTGTGGGATTAAATAGCTGCACAAATATCTGTCTATACATATCCCAGAGCTAAAGATTCTATACGTATAAACACCCATCCAGCTTTCAATTGTCTTTGACAGAGTTGTGGCACAGCTAATAAAAATTACTTGCGTTTGCATTTGGATTATATTAGATTAACTTCTGTGTTTACAGAGAGCAAAATCCTACGCTTGGAAGCCAACACCCACATCTGATCTCGTTCTTTACCACTCCCTAGCTTTGGGATCTAAACTTACGCATGTTTCAATTTCTTCATATGTAAAATGAAGATAATAATTATCCTATCTATTTCACATGGTGCTTTGAAAGTTAAAAGTCGTTAAGTAGAAATTTTGAAATTAAGCCAAACATCATTTTTTGTGGTTTTTACTTTTGTGTTCTATCTAAGGAATTTTTGCCTAACCCACAATCACAAAGATTTTCTACTATGTTTTATTTCCAGAATTTTGTAGTTTTAGATTTTATCTTTAGGTCCCTGATCCATATCAAATTGATTCCAGCATGTGGTTCAAGGGAAGAATTAAAGGTTTTATTTTGCTTTGTTTGTTTGATTTCTTAAGGTTGGTCATTTGCTCTAGCATCATTTGTTGAAAATACTATCATTTCTCAATCAATTACCCTGCGTGTTTTGTTGAAAATCAGTTGACTCTATTCTGTTCCATTGATCTATTTGTTCACCCTACACCAATCCCACATTATCTAGATTATTGTAGCTTTACAGTAAGTCTTGAAATTAGAAAGTGTGTCTTCCAATTTGACTCTAAAAGATATTGTTAAGAAAGTGAAAAGAAAATCCACAGACTAGGAGAAAATATTTGCAAAGCAGATCTATGATAAAGGACTTGTAACCGGATTATACAAAGAACTCTTAAAACTCAGTAAGAAGACAAAAAGCTCAATTAAAATAATGAGGAAAAGATTCATACAGACACTTCACCAAAGAAGAGATACAGATGGCACATAAACAACTGACGAGATGCTCAACATCATTAGACGTTAGGTAAATGCAATACAAAACCATAATGAGGTACCTCTACACACCTACTTGAATAGCTAAAATTTAAAAGACTGACAATACTAAGTGCTGACAAAGACACTGAGCAACTAGAACTTTCAGTTTTGTGAGTAGAGTACAACATTGTAAAATTACATTACAAAACAGTTTGGAAGCTTCTAATAAAGTTAAATATACACTTACCATACAATCCAGCAATTCCACTCTTTGATATTTACCCAAGATAAATGAAAACAATCCCCACTCAAAGATATATATACGAACATTCATAGCAACTTAATCCATAATCACCAAAAACTGTAAACCACACTGATGTCCTTTTACTGGTGAATGAAACAGTGAACTATGGTACATCTGTACTCAGGATACTTCTCAGCAATGAAAGAGAGTGAACTATTGATACCCACAATAGCATGGATGAGTCTCAAAAGCATTATACTAACTGGATGAAGCCAGATACAAAGGCGACACACTGCATGGTGTCATTTGTATGACTTTATGGAGAAGTCAAAATTATAGGGATTGAAATTAGATTGATGGCTGCCAGGGGCTGTGGATGGGTGGGGTGGGACTGATTACCCAGAGGCATGGGGGGACTTTTTGAAGGATGGACTGTTCTATACTTTGATTGTAATGGGGTTACACTACTGTAAATATTTGTCAAAACTCATAGCACTGTACACCTAAAACGAGTGATTTTTCCTGTATGTAAATTGTACCTCAATAAATCTACCTTTTTATAAAGTCATTAAGCAGTTAACCTGAATGTCCTATAACATAAAATTAATTGTTCCAGCTTTAGACTTTCCACCCTCCCTCTGGAGAATGAAGGGCCAAAATTTCCCAGGTGGCAAATGTGATTGTGATCATAGGCAAAGCTATATGCATCCTACTCTGTGCAGCTTAGAACTTTTGTTTTGACCTTGTCAGTAATATTTAGAGCACTTGCAATAGTATCTATCTTATCTTATCTATCTATCCATCTATCTATCTATCTATGGAATCATGATGGCATGTAAATTGGTGAAAGCACTTTGGAAAAAAACAGTAGCTCATTAACCAATAAAGTTAAATATTCATCTGCCTTATGACCCACAATTTCACTTGTTTATGTATCTTTGAACAAAACTTTCACACAAGAAGTTCATAGCAGTACTATTCACAGAAATTCTGAAAACAATCCAAATGCTTATCGAGAGCAGAGTGCATGAATAAACACTGGTGTGTTTACACAATGAAATATAAACAAACTAGAGAGACACACTACAATATGAATAAACCTTAGCTATAGACAATTAAATGTAAAAATAAGCCCAGGCGATTATATACAGCATCATACCATTTTCACAAAGTTAAAAAGACTTAAATACAAAATACAATTTGAAGGAACACATAGGGATGCAATAAAAGTATATAAAAAGGAAATCACAGAAACAATGCACCAGCAGCAGCAGCAGCCTGGGGAGCCAAGGAGTGCAGACGCCTGCTTCCTGCTCAAGCTGGTTCCCACAGCCGTGGTGCCAGCAGCACAGCCACTGTGGACTCTGGGAAAGTCCACTTTGCATTTGCTTCTCCAGCTTCAGGACTGGAAATGGCCTCATGCAATTTCTAATTTCTGGGTTAACTCACTTTTCTTCTTTTGCTACCCTATTTCCTCCAGCATATTTGTAGCCAATTCTCTATATTCAAATTCTATCCTTAGAGGTGACTAAGAAAATTTTTACTCTCTGGATTAGACATCCATTTTCTAGGCTCCACACAAAGGATGTAAAAGATATGTCAGGAAAACTCTAACCAAAAGAAAGCTGTTGCAGAAAAATGACCTTTAGGTGGTAAATAATTATTAGGCATAAAGAAATCACTTGATAAGTGATAAAAGTGATAAAATATTCAAAAGTCAAGATGATATAAGAATTTTAAACATATGCACACTTAGTGAAATACTCTCAGAATACGCAATGCCAATTTTGTAGAATTCTAGGAAGCTTTGACAATCATCAATATATTAGGAACTTCAAAATGCTTCTCTTGATTATAGCTATGTCAGAAAGACAAAAATTAGCAAGAATATTGAAGATGTAAAGAACTCAGTTAAATTTATATCTAACACTTAGAGAATACAGATTATTCTCAAGCACACAAAGAACATTACACATTGGTTGAGGCACTAGGTCATAAAGCCTCGATAAAACTCACAGCACACACACTGTAGAGTTCATGTCTGCTCATTGTAACAATTAACCTGAAGCTAAAAGCAAGTGTCTAAACCCAAAATGTTGTATATTTGGAAACTAAAAGAAAGCATTACTAATAATTTGTGGTTTAAATAACAAATTATAATGGAAATTTAAAACTCCTAGAATTATACAATAATAAATATACTACACATCCACATTTAGAGATGTAACAAGAGTAGTGCCATGAGAAAAATTTATACCCTTAAATACTTAGAAAAGGAGAAAGGCTGAAAATTACAAAATTAGGGAAAGAACAACAGAATGATCCCAAAGAAAAGTACAATAGAGAAGATGAATATAGTTAAGAGTGGTTTCATGGATAAAACAAAAACTAAAAGGTAGGAAAATACCTCTGGTGAGATTAAGGGGAAAAAAGGAAAACTAAAGTAAATAATATTTTGAATGTAAAAGAAGATATAAATCATTTAAACAGAAATTTAAAATATAATAGATGCCAACAATTTTAAAAACAGAATAAATTTTAAAAATCATAGAAAATATAATTTACTAAAACTGACATTGGAAGAATAAAAGATAACAAAGTTGAAACAACAGTTATTAATCTTCTGAAGAAGAAAAAGAACAGGCTTCAGCAGTTTTACCCGTAAGTCCTACCAAGCTTTTCAAGCACAAATCATCCAGTCTTTCATACTATTCCACCAAATAGAAGTGGGGAATCCTTCTCGCCCCGTCGTGACAGGCTACCATCATCCTGGTACCCAAACCAAACACTGACATTTTGAAGAAGTAACTCGTTAATATATATTAAAGAACATAAAATAAAACATTAACAAATCGAATCAAACACATAAAAAGACAACCAAACAAGATAAACCTGGCTTTATGCTACTTGTGTATAAAGCACCTACCTAACCATATTAATAGATTAAAATTATATTATCATATCAATAGATTGAAAAAACCCTAAGATAACATTCAATATATACTAATGATTATAAACGTTTAGTAAACTAGGAATGTAAAAGCACTTTTATAATCTAATAAAGGGTATCTGTAAAAATACTACAGCAAATGCTATGCTG